AAACTGCTATGTTTAGTGCAATCGAATACGAAAATGAAAGTATTGTGCAGGCGTTAATTGATGCTGGTGTTGATGTCAACAAGACTGATAAGTATGGCAATACTGCTTTGTTTAATGCAGTCGAAAACAACAATGAAAGTATTGTGCGGGCGTTAATTGATGCTGGTGTTGATGTCAACAAGACTGATAAGTATAGCAAAACTGCTTTGTTTTGCGTATCACTTTTTTTTAACTTTTCTTCAGGCGATTCCATTGATTTATTGATTGACGCAGGTTCTGATGTCAACCTACCTGACAACAAAGGCGAAACTCCGTTGTTTAGTTTGGTCAGATCTCAGTTGGACATTCATGTAAAAACTTTGGTGGAGAAAGGTAAAGCCTTGACAAATGTGAGAAATCAGTATGGCAGAACGCCCTTATTTTATGCTCTGCAGCGTTCACCAGTGGTTGCCCTTTACCTTCTCTACAATGGTGGAAATCTCTATTTGAAAGACAATTGCAATTTAAGCATTTTATCATTTTTTATCGAAGAGATGTTGCACGATGAAATTCGTTTTGATCGTTCTGGTCGTTTTGATCTGACTGAACAATTGAACCTGCTTTGTAGAAGAGGTGTTACGGAAAAACTTGTAGTAAAATCACTAATAGAAGTACTATTTTGCAAAATTGTGCTTATGTGTACGCCTTTGGGTGAAGTAAGAACTTCCTATTCATATTTTATGCACAAAGGATGTCTTTCTGAGTTCTTGTCGATGGCTGATTATCAAACTAAAATGACCATAGAAAACATTTTGGAACAAGTCTCAAGTGAGCAACTGTCACAGGTAGTTCCTTCATTTGTGAATTTAGGTGCTGACCCAAACAGTGTAGATTCACATGGCAACACTTTACTTCACTATGTAACTCTCCTGCCATTTGTCGATGTATCTCAAAAGGAAGTCGTGGAAACATGTCACCTACTATGGAAGTATGGAGCATCAATGAACATCAAAAACCACCAAGGTCAAACGCCTCTGTTATTTTGCTTGTCAGAGCTTAGTTTGCATTGGGAATGGTTACTTAGAACTGATGGAGTAAAGATGCTGGTAGAGGTCTGTAGACTTTTGCTAAACTGTGGAACGAATGTCAACGATACATTACCAAACGGGGAGTCCGTTTTCCATTTGTTAATTGATTTGTTCCAAAAAGGTCTTCGATTGCAAGATGAAGCTGTGAGACAGGAATTACTAAAAGAAATGTTTAATCTGCTGCAACTGTTTTCAGATGCAAATTGTAAACAAGCTGAAAGCTTTAAAAATAGCAGTGGCCATCTTTACTTGCTACTTCATTCATGGGCATCGCTCACTTTACCATATTCAGAAAACTATTCGCGTAAAGTTACCCATAACTACACATTTGAAGAACTTTTAAAAGCCATTTTACAGCTTCTCCTGAAATGTGGGGCAAAGCAGAATGCTAGAGATGATGATGAAAGAACCCCTCTGCATCACTGCAAGACGTGGAGCGCTGTAAAGCTTTTGATAGATGCTGGAGCAAARACAGATGATGTCGATTCTTCAGGACACCCAACCCTATTAGCTGCAGCGGGAAGACAGACTTTTCTTGAGAGATCCGACCGTTTTTATCCAGACGTTTTAGAAGACCCAAAAGCATTCTGGAGAACTGCTATCGAAATGAACCTTGATCCTTGGACTGTTGATCAACATGAGAACTCTGTTCTAAGTAACATGATAGAATGCAAAGCCTTTGTTCTTGTCAAAGCTTTAATTGAAGTCACTTGTGAGGACAAACACATTGAATCTCATACAATTGCTTATTCACTTTTAAGCACTATTTGCAACGACCAGTCGACACACGCACGTTGGAAAACTAATCTAGTCGAAATTATTTTGAATTCAAGGAAAACACTGCTAGTGAACTTAGATGTGCCACTTCGCTTTTGCTGCAAGAATATAATAGAACTTGGTAGCTCAGATGACAGTTCACATGACAGTTTACATCCATCTAAAGGATTAAAAAGAAAATTCGCCGATAATGAGTTCGAAAAGCATGGCAGCACGCAACCTATGCTTAAGAAAATAAAAACTACGGATGGGCGATGTAGTGAAGAGAAAACAGATGGGCAATGTAGTGAAGAGGAAACAGATGGGCAATGTAGTGAAGAGAAAACAGAGAATGCAAAAAACAGCGACGATCTAGTACATTACGATTCAGTCCACTGCGAGATTGCTCAACTGCTTCTTTCATATGGAGCTGATTGTCGAATTTCTGATTCAACTGGCAAGTCATGCCTTGACTTAGCGGAGACCTGTCCTGAACTCAAGCATATCTTAATGCAACCCATAGATATGAATAAAATTTCTAAACGCATTCCTTGGGATTCTGTTTCAGAGAGGTACAAAAACATGTTGGCCAAAGTTTCAAGAGGACAAGAAAAACAGATAGTCGGCTCATTTTGGTATCACAAAGACTACATTGGAAGTGGCTCGTATGGACATGTTTTCACAGGGATTAATGAGAATGATGGTAGGGAAGTGGCCATCAAACGAATTGAAAAGTTGCGCATGGTACGACCAGAAGACCAGCGTGAAATAACAAACCTTGCTAACCTTGCCGACTGCAAACAAGTCGTTAGTCATGTGTGTTTCTTAGAAGACATACACTTTTCATACATAGTATTGGAGCTGATGGAGGGAGATCTCGAACACTACTTCAGCGAACGCACAGTTGACAAAAGAAAAAGTGTCTTACTTTGCAAAGATATAGTTGAGGGACTAAGATATTTACATGAACGAAAAATAATCCATCGTGACCTCAAGCCTGGAAACATCTTATATAAAACACATCCTACTCTCTGCTTAAAAATTGCTGACTTTGGTCTAAGCCGCTATTGCCGCGTTAACAACACCTCTACTACACTGTACGGCCGTACGATTGTTGGAACCAGATGTTGGATTGCTCCAGAAATTCTAACGTCCCAATCGGCTGGCGAAAATTTTACGAAGAATTCCGACACTTTTTCCTGTGGACTTCTATTGCATTACATCTTGTCGGAACAAAGGCATCCGTTTTCTCCTGCGCCTTCATCAAATCCGCACTTCATAGAAGATAACATAATAAAGGATAAAATGGAAGGATAGGATGCCCATATCTCTCCTGAAGCAACAGACCTGATCAAAAAGATGCTCAAGAAAAGTGTCGGGGAAAGAATAAGCCCAACTGATGCACTAGCTCATCCGTTGTTCTGGACGAATAGTAAAAAAAAGGATTTCCTCGTTGCTGTCGGAAATCAGCCAGAATTTGAATCATGGCCTTCCAAAAGGAATTTTCCTGAGACTGATTTGGAAAGAGACTTGAAGTCGCTCAAGGTTTTTCAAACAGTAGTGAAATGTGGTTCGTGGGATGATTCAAGAAATAAACTCATGCCTAAATTTTACGACGAAATGAAAACATGGCGGAATTACGACACTACATCTGTCGTGGACTTAGTGCGACTTATACGAAATGGCTACTCCCATTACGACTCGTTGTCACATAAAGTCAGGAGAATGCTGTTGACAAACTATGCTTACTTGGATTATTTTCCTGATCTTGTCATGGAAGTCTATAAAGCTGTGACTGTTCGTGGATGGAATTCTAGACCTCAAATCAAAGATGCCATGACCAAGCAAGAACACGCATCGTCACGTGACTTTAATCACATTTAAGTCACGTGACAAACATCGTTTTATTTGATAGCGAAGAGCGTTTTCTACGTCTTCGTAAAACTCGTAACGCTGTAGCGTATATTGATGAAAAAACGACTGACTAAAATTGAAAATGCCGCTCATAGACTTTACTCTGGAAATCATTTAAGGCCAAGAATATTGTGAATCGTGACATGAAGCAGATGACAATTTGTCACACAACTTTGATCAGCTTATAGTCACGTGACAAACAATACCAAACACCAGAGATGACGATTAAATTGAACTCCTATCGTCGTTACTACACTGGTAACGCATTTTTCACAGACAGCTGAGAAAAATTATTACTGGTGTTACTAATAGTCCTTTCTAGCTTGGATTATTCTCCTTGTCTTGTTACGGAAATCTTCAAGGCTGTAAATTATTCATGCATGGCAACAATTCAGACCTGAAGCCCTAGAATAATGTTGTTATGAATAGGTAAGACGACTTTTGATTAGGCATTGATTAGCTTTAACAATTTATAGCTTAACCTTTGGAGACTATCACAGTGTGGACACAAGAACTGCGACCATTTTTACAAAGTTAGAGAATAAAATGTCGGTAAAAACACAACAATCCAGTTTAAGGCAAAAAAAACTGACCGTGGGATTAAATGATTGTGATTGGCTGAGGTCAATGGCGCTCTAATTCTGCTCTCTCCTGATTGGCTACAGTTTTCATTCTATATCGTGATTGGCTAACTTTGTAAAAGCGGTCATGTATAGTACCTATAACATACATCAATCTTGGTAGGGTATAGAACTATTTCTTAAAACATCATTCGGAGATATGAATCTGAGACCAAAATTAATTTTATGAAGGAAAGTGATGACGTTTTTGTCTTTTTAATAGTAGTTAGCAACCAGTCAAGATCTAAAGTTGCTACCACCCTTGAGTGATGACCTGCGCTTGCGAATTGGTCCAGGTTTCAGATCGACAATAACGGTTTTTATGATTACTTCTTGTATCTAAGAAAAGCATTGTGATATGATGCCAACCACCCTCACAAAAGCTCTTCATCATGTGTTACTTTGTTCACCATCAATATTGATATCTTATTGGCAAATAATTTACAAAGTCACATGACGTATTGCTATATGCATTGTATGTAAAACAATATTAGTATAACCTTATAATTGTTCATATTTCAAGTACATTTAAGGATAGGAACAGTATAGCAACATTTAAAATAACTGGCCAATCTCTACCGCAGAGTCACTACGGAGCCTGTCATTCATAAACCAGACCTTCATTAGTTTGTGCCCAGAAACAAGTCGTAACAATGATGGGGTCGCGAGTGACCAGTAGCACCATGACCAGAGAAAACTGAACATTTTTGCCAATTCACCATTTTCCATACATCGGTTCACTGGTCAAACTAAAAGCATTCAGTCGAGGTTGCAAGATTCAAATTTGAATAATCCCTTGAATAATCCGCTTGAGTGCTTTGTGTTTGACCAGTGAACCAATGTATGGAAAATGGCGAATACTCTAGTTTCCAGTACTCTGTTGCTCAGGGTTAGCCTCGACTTTACGCAGAATATTCATGTGTTTCAGTGAAAAGCTATAAAGCTGAGTCCGACAAGGATTATGGGTAGATTCATTTTTCACGTTCAACCGCTTGATAACTGATTATGGACTTACGACTTGCATCATCGAGCTGCAGTTTGCATTAAAAAAGCTTTGTATATATATATATGCTTTTTTGATATAAAAAGTTTCCCATGATGCTCAGTGATCTCAGCTTTCTAGGTTTTTGGTGGCTAACTTTATTGAAATAAGTGTATTCAAAATGTTTTTATAGTTGAAGTTGTGCTTTCTTTACTTCACCGTTGGTATTTGTGAATATTTAGACACTAAACGTGGTTAACCCTGAGTAAATGAGTCTGTAATCAAGGAACGTCTTTCATTTTCCTTTCAAGGGGAAACCAAAAACAAGAGTTAGAGGGGGAGGGGAGGACAGGGGTGTTATTAATCGCATTTTCTGTTGTCTTAATCATTGCTTCAAACAGACAGCTGCATTTGATTTCTCAGGCCATTTTATATGCTGTATTATACGAAGTAGAAAGCATGCTTTATTCTCGTTGCTTCGTACAGTTGTTACGAATAATGAATAGCTAGCTAGGTTCTATACCTACTAATGGTTTATCACAAATCCAGGGCTCTCTGATTGGCTGAACTACTAGAGGTGTATTAGTGATAGACCACAGGTAACGAAAGGTTCCGGGTTTGAAAACAACGCAACAAATAAGCAATTTCAACCTAATTTCAACATCGTTTGTATTCATTTATTTGACCTATTAGTAGGTTAATACTAAAAAATAGACCTCTCGCCCGCATGGGCTATAGACTCGTAGACCATTCTGGCTGCAGATCCAATTGTTAAATATCACGTTTAATGTCATTCTATACGATTAAAATGTAATAGATATAAATAGGTTGTCTATCTAATATCATCTGTAATATATTCAACTATATTTTATGATTTATCTCGAATAGATAAACGCTAAAGATAATATTTTTAATTGCTGGGTTTCAAATCCCTTGAAACATGAATAACAATGAAACAGCCGCCATCTTGGTTGATCTAACAAGAGAAGCTAATGAGGAATTCTTTGTTATCGTCAACCAAGATGGCGGCTATAACGTAACATGCACCTGCTTTAGAAGTTTATAACAGTCTTTGAATTGCATGGCTGTTCAAAACGGTGGTCAAATACTTACCGTCCATGTCAGAAAGGACTTGAAATTCAGCTGATGAACATTCTGCACAAGGCAATAGATGACGTCAAGTGAAACCCAGCAATACTGTACGAAGGGATGATATCAAATCTGCTGTCCGTAAGAAAAAAAGTTAGCCAATCAAAATCGCACTGAGGTGTCATTTTTTCTTTTGAAATTTTGGATGTCCAGGCATCCAAATAAAAACAACTTTGGTAATGATCATAGTGACGCAATATTTTATGATTGTGATATTTTTATTTTTATAGTACACTCAACAAAATTACTTGACTGTGATTGGTCGAGAGGAGTACAATTATAGCGTTAATTGTACTCCGTAGGAGTACCGAATTAAGTCGCTATGGCAACAAGGCCAAAACAATGTCGAAAAAATTATTTTCTATCATTTTGTATTTAAAAAACATAAATAAAATTTCAAAGCCGTAAGAACTAATCTTTTTTATGCATTTCAGTTGCGCGATGGACTGAAAATCGGCCGCCAAATAGACAAAGATGAACGGCGTCGCTTCGCATTTTTTACTAAAATTTTGTTGAGTGAACTATAAACAAAAAATCGCACGATCTTCTCATACAATTTGGAATTAATAGACACTCGTAATGTTTTGAAAGTTCTTTAATTGCACTCGCCTAAAGGCTCACGCAATTATAAGAACTTTCAAAACATTACTCACTGGGAGAAAAAACAGATTTACGCTTGCAGGAAATTACAAGGAAACGTTCAGTAAAGACCAAATTTACGTTGATTTACATTAGTTTTTTTTTGCATTGTAAATTCAAAGTTTACTTCGAAATTTGCTGTACAGTAAATTTAGTAAACGCGCACTTTACTATGGTATGAAAACGGAATTAAATCATATAGAAAATATGATCTTTACATCGCTATGAAATGTACGTAAATATTACATTAAATTTGAAATTTTCCAGTCTCGTAAAGTGTAGTAATTGGTACAGTAAAGTTGGCCTTTTTGGTCCCCTTAAATGCACGTAAATAAAATATCAAATTTGAAATTTTCCATACACTTAAAGTGCATTAATTCCTTATAGTAAAGTTCCCGTTTTTGGCTCATT